CTAAATCTTATAAAACCAACTCTCCACAAGTCAAGCTTTTCACTGCCAGTAATTGACATCACTTCCTTCAAGAATGCTGCACAAGAAGTCACAAGAAAAAAAAATTATACCTTTATAATAAAGTGAATTCTTTCCTCCTCTAAAACAATTGGAATATTAAAACTAATAACAGATTCATGTTCTAAAAGAGAAACAAAATGATAATGAATATAATACTAGCAACTGGAGAGAAAGAAACAGACAACATAAAGCAAAAAATCCAAGAAAGTGAACGCAACCACCCAAGAACCTTGTAATTTTTCACACTTACCCGCTTCTTTTTCTTTGTGCCAACTTCACTAACTCCTGTCTTCTTGATTATGTTAACCTGAGAAGAAATTATAGATTGGTTACTATGGTAGTTTACAAAATTTACAACTTAAAAAATTGTGAATACAAGATATAAAAAAAACAGAACAAAGTCATATAATAAATTTTATTTCCTAATATGATAGCGTTTTAATCATAGATCTTTATTTCCCTCATCTAGGCAAGAGTCGTCAACTTACTCTTTCTTCCAGGTTTTACAACAACAACAACAACAACGTACCCAGTATAATCCCACAAGTGGATTTTGGGGAGGGTAGTGTGTGCACAGACCTTACCCTTACCGGGAGAGGTAGAGAGGCTGTTTACGATAGACCATCGGCTCAAGATAAGATGGAAAGGAAGAAAAGGGAAGAAGATTAAGAAGAAGAAAGGGGGGGAGATTAGTAATAATGATGTAAAACATAACTATTTACTTGCTGTCTAAACAGGATATTAGTAGACTAAAATTTGCAGACATAAATCAGAGAGTGAACATGCTAGATTCACTAAATTACACATGGTATAGATACATCAAGTTTAATTCATCATTATGTATTGACAGTTACATAAAACATACTTATTTATGGAAGAGAACAAAGATATATCAAATAAAGGTGTGAAAGCAAAGAAATGGTGGCTTCAGCTACCAGAAATCACCGGCAAACAACAATAACTCTTTAAGTTAAATTACTCTTCAAACCCAGAAATACAAAGTAATTAAAACCAGGATTGAAAACAGGTGCTGAAACCCTTTTTTGTTCCTATTTTTTCCTTGTTTTTGAAGCTCTTTGTAATCTAGATCTCAGCTGATGGTTTATGGCTGCTGAGAATGAATCCCTAATGAGGATAAGAGGTCCTATTTATGGGCTCAACTGCTAGGGCTTTTCTTTTTAGGCAGAAAAAAGAAGCTAACTTATTCAGAGCTGCAACAGGAATGCCACCATCATCGTCAAACACAAGTTTAAAAAATGGAACTCCATCCTTGAGAGGACATACTCATTCTCCCTCAATTCCCAACTAGTTGACCTCTAATATTATGGGACCTTTTATATATATATATATATATATATATATATATGTATATAATAAAAGAATTTCCTTGCCTTAAACGTAATACAAAGATGTAGGGACATGAATTGCTGCCCAAAAATCGTCCTCTCCTTTATCAAGCAACAGCAATGGCTTCCAAGTAATTATAATAGCTCTAATACTAACTATTACAATTGGGTATTTTCTCTTTTTTATCGTAACACCAACCAATATGTATAGACAAATATGGACATCCATGATCAAAGCTCAGACTGCTACATCCACTTACTTTGGAGCTTGATAATCTTTTTAATTGTAAAATAGCCTCTATACTTTAAAGTGCTATTTTGAAGCTTTACGTAACTAAAGTGAAAATTAACATAGTTAAAACTATACTTTTCGAATGTATGCAGAAAAAGATTTAGTTAAAATGAGTTTACGAACTCACCATCTTTGTGTGAACAAGTAAAACAGGTGATAGTGATTGTTGGTACTCGTCCATTGAGTTATCAGAAACCTATCACAAAAGAGGAAGATTACTACAGTTAAAGAAAATTAAATTACAAGATTATCTTAAATACAATAAATTTTTGCTAAAGAGCACAATATTTTTTACCTGATCATCACCAGATAATTTCTTAATTGAGCCAATAGTAATACCCAATGATTCTAGATATGCATGTATACCAAGCTTTACTTTATCGTCTATTTTTGCATCCATATCCTTTGATGCTTCTAACATTTTTTTCCCCAACGCTTTTATTTCTTCTTTTGCTTTAAATAACTTTTTCTCCGTCGCTTCTATTTCTTCTTTTGCTTCAGACAATTTTTCTTCCATTCTCATAGCAAAGGTAGCTTTTTCAACTTCTATCTCAACCCTTCTATCAAAATCTCTTTGCTCAGCCTGGGATCGCTTATATGCAGGGCCATAAACAAAACTTGGAGTTGCTCCTTTTCCTAAAGTTCGAACATTTCCATGAGTGTCTGGTCCCATAACCTGTGCATACACATCATTGGGAGCACTTCCAGGGACATTTAACTCGGGTTACACCTTAGCAAGTTCATCCATTTCTTTCTTTTGGAAAGAAAAGGTAAAACAATACAAAGTTAATAAAATCTTACATTGGAAAAAAAAGTAATTCATATTCATAAAGAATGGGAATTTACCATAGTTTCATCAGCTATCTCATTTGCTGGTTGTTTATTCTTTCTCGTATGTGTTTCTTTGAATACGTCGATACGACTTGGTTTTATACCATTCTTCTTTGTCATCTGTTTAAATAGTAAAAAATTTGTTGCAAATATATTCAAGAAAATAAATATTGATATATAAATTGCAGAAAGCTTATAGTAAATATGGCATACATCATCTATAATTTGAGAATGACTTTTTCTTCCTGATGTGTGTGGCATACTCAACTTCCTTCGACTTTCTTTGTTCCTCTCGCTCTTTTTCTAAAAAAGTTACACGTAATTTTATATATTAGAGGTAATGCATGGCCAAACATCATACCAAAGAATAAAACTTTTAAAAGAAAAAAGAGAAAAGATAACAAGAATTACAGAGGAAAAGCATAAAAATATTTAAAAGAAAAAGTATGATCTGCATAATAGCATGTGCTAAGGGCAAGAGAAGAAGATGCTCGATGCTCGGAGAATACCTTTGCTTCGTTAGAGCTCCAATAATGAACTAATGCACGCCACTGGTCTTCCTCTACCCTGTCTGGACATTTAGCTAAGCGCTCGATATCGTTGTTGTATGGCTCATAACCAATCATTTTTGCTTCATGCTTCCATTCTTTCCATTTAGATCCAACCGATATCATCAACATACGTCTCATATCCTCAGTTGCATCAGTATTTTCCTGCAAACATCAACATATAACACATGTATAAAAACATAAAATCAATAAGCATCTTAGTATATAACCTTTTTCTTTAATTTTCTAAGCACCTTAATATGAGCCCATATCCTATCCTTGTACAGTTTAGGCACAAGCCTCCAATCTTTATGATTTAAAGGAGCTAAAATGCCATTTCGTGCTATAACTCCAAGTTTTGAACTCAATCTAGCTGCATCAGGTCCAATAGATTGACTAAGATTATTCAACTCAACATGTAAAATGCCACCATCTTTTCCCCATCCTGAGTGCATCATAGTAGGACCCCTAGATCGCTTAGATTGCTTTTCATTAGCACTAGAGTCTGCAATAACCAAATATAAAAAAGAGAGTCATCCATAACTAGTAAAACTCAATTAATTCTTTTTTTCTTCTTTTAAAATTCACATATAAACACTCCATTAATACCAAGGGATTAGAATAAAAGAGTGATAAAGGAAAAACTGTCGTAAATGAAGCATATATATTTTTGGGAAAAAAAATTACAGCAATACAGGTAGGTATAGTGATGAGCGGTCAAGGTACAAGTACTCTTGGTGGATTTGCTTGAGTTGATATTTTACATTTAGGTCTACTTGGTTGCTTGGGAAAAAGTGCACAAATACACAAAGTGCAACTATTCAATAAAGATAAGATATTATACAGAATAAGTACCTTGAGAATTTTCTGTTTCATGTGAATTATTTCTTGATTTACCAGATCGGATAGCTTGTCTTTCATTTTGTGGCCAGTTTTGAGGTGGTTGAGGCATCGCCGCACCTCCCATTTGTCTTCTTGTTGCTCCGGAAAATTAGGCAAAAGCATTTCTTGACTAGAATTTCTCTGTCTTTTTCTTGCCATCACAACAAAGTTGCTCAAAAATTATGTTCCTGCAAAATTGAAAAATATTTTCTACTATCCAGACGTATAAAGTAATATCAAACTAGCAAGCCAAACAAAAGGACACATACGCATATGAGATTTAAACAACTAAAAAGCACAATAAGAAATTCCCAACTCGATGATCTATGTTTAATAACAATCTTTACTAAAATAGTGGGAAAACAATATGAGTAACTAAGATATGTCGTCTTCTTCATCATATGTTTCATTACTTTCCAAAGCAAGTGGGTCAATTTCTATTCCCGGCACACCCTCTCTAACCCATTTAATATCCTCTTCATTTTCAAATATAGTATCATCCAGCTGTTGTTCGGGCCACAATTTCATGTGCTCTTCCATTTCACCTAAATTATAAAACCTCTTGGTTTAATTTCAACTACAATCTGCCATTCTTTTGCCATTGGATGATGGACATAAAACACCTGTTGAGCTTGAGAAGCAAAGATGAAAGGTTCATTTGACAGGTGCTGCCTTTTGTAGAGTAGTTGAGAAAAATTAACAAGAGTAAATCCATAAACATCTTTCACAATAAGCCCCTTGTTGTTGTCCACCCATTCGCATCTAAATAGTATAAACTTAAGGCTTGCGGTATAATACAACTCAATTATGTCCGTGAGAATTCCATAAAAGGTGACTTCTCCTAATATGAGATTTCTGTCTCTTGTGCTTGCATAGCTCTGAGTGGCAGCCTTTACCATAACTCCACTATTTTGTGTTTTTAGCTTTGCATCACGAGACTTTGTTAAGTATCTAACTCCATTACTTATATATCCGTTCATTCTTTTTGCTTGCTTTGATGGGCCAATAGCTAGATTTTGGATTTCTTCTGGTATTTGTTCACCTACCATATGTATCTTCTCAACCTATAAATAAGCAAGAACTAATTAAAAATTGATACTATAATATATAGTGTGTGTGTGTGTGTGTGTGTGTGTAAAAGTATTCTAGCTGGTTCACAATTACATGTTTTCTAAACCATATGTGAAATTTTTCATTGTGAATCTTATCCACATCATGTCTCGATAGACGAGGATTTTGCTTCTTGATTTCTTTTATATGCTCACTGCAAAAGTAAAACACTTAAAAACTTAATAACAGAATTAAACAAAAACTTTATATTACTTAATAATTAATTATAAAGCAGAATATTATTGAATACTTACTCGCGGTATGGCGTTATGGTAGCAGAATTAAATAAAACATATCTGTGTGCTTGGGCATGAGTAATATCATCAAGCGTAAACCCATCAATTTTAGTTGACTGACGACCCTCTTGATTTGGAATCTCATTATACAAACCATAATTTCTTAAAGGTCGATTTAACTTTGTCTCCACATCATGTATATATCTTGAGCAGAATGTCATGCACTTTTCTATCCAATATCCCTCTGCAATTGAACCTTCTGGATGACTTCTACTCCTCACATAATTTTTAAGAGAAAGCAAGTACCTAAAATAATAAATAATATTATAATTCAATATAATACTTTATAAGTACAATAAATAAGAATAACGAAATAGTACCTTTCAAATGCCCACATTGAACGGTATTGTGGAGGTCCGCCAATCTTTGCTTCTTCAGCTAAATGTATGACTAGATGTACCATGATATCAAAAAAGGATGGAGGAAATATTCTCTCCAAATGACAAAGAGTTATTGCAACTCGATCTTGGAGCTTTTCTAATTCACCTATGTTCATAACTGTTGAACAAATGCCCCTAAAAAAATTACTTAATTCGATCATTGGCTTAAGGACATTCATTGGAAGGAGACCTCGCAAAGCAGTAGGAAGGAGTTGTTGCATTAAAATATGGCAGACATGACTCTTCAATCCATGCACAGTGCGTTGCTTAAGATCAACACAACGTGATATATTTGAAGCATATCCATCTGGTACTTTCACATCTCTTAAAACTTGTAAGAGAATATCTTTTTGTGCATTGCTCAAAGTGAAACATGCCGGAGGTAGATAGTATTTGCCATTAGCTTTTTTTTTAGGGTGCAAAGCCTTTCGAATCCCCATCTCTTGTAAATCCAAACGAGAATTCAGATTATCTTTTCCTTTCCCGTCAACATTTAGTAATGACCAGAATATATTGTCAAATACATTCTTTTCGATATGTATTGTGTCAAGATTATGACGAATCATATTGTCTTTCCAGTAGTCTAACTCAAAAAATATGCTGTTTTTCTTCCATAAATATTGCAACATGGCATCGTCAACATGATCAGAATTCTTCCATTTTCTTTTCTTGGACATTGCCAATAGATGTTTTTCCGAATTTATTTTTTAATACCTTTTAATTGCTTAAGAACTTCAATACCTGACAAACATTTAGGTGCTCCCTCTAACTCCTTAAAACCATCAAACGAAATTTTATCTTTTCGAAACTTGTGCCCATCGGGTAACCAACGCTGGTGCAACATGAAACAATATTTCGCCCATATTTCAATATCAACTAAATTTAGTCTTGGTCAGACAACATGGACAAGCATATCTTAGTTTCCACACCTATACTCCTAGATTAACGTTAC